ATATCTGGTAATTAATGCATGGAAAGGAAGCCACAAGCAGAAGGCATAGGTATCAAACAATTTTCATCTGACTCTAAGTGTTCATCACTCTCCAGATTATTCTAGTTGTTCCATAGAGGCTTTCCTTCTGGAGAAGTTTTATTGGTCCATCAATGTCTATTTTCATTGTTCTTGTCTCTTTTCTGTCAGGTATTGTATCAAGTTTACCAATGACAACTGATATAAGTGTGACCTTCAACTTCTGAAGACTTAAGCATTCAGAGTAAGTGGGTCAAGGTTATTCTATAATTATTATTATTAATATTATTATTATAACCAAAAATTATTCTTGTTGTTATTATTGTTATTTTATTTCCTCTGAGATCTAATATCAGAAATGGCATAATTTTCACTGAACATTTAAAAAAAGAAACAAAAAGAAACTATGTTTTATATAGATAAAACCCTTCATAATGTGTCAGCTTTACTTGAGAGTACAACTTTTTGTATTTCTTTATCTTTTACCATGCTAATTTTCTTTCTAGAATTGTTCCCCCTGTTTTTTTAAGGGTGCAAAAACATGAACACCTAATTGTTATAACTTCCTTTGTATTATGCACATTGATATTAATTTTTGTACACTAATAAAAGAATAATTGAGTAATATTTTCATGTAATGCATTATGTTTTGCATGCATGTTGTTGAGGACCATGTGGGTTTGAATGTGGTTGAATTAGGAACACGTGCTGTTTATTCCTGCTAGAAGAAGGTCCAACTACAAGAACATGGCAGACTCAGGTTGAGTCTAACCTGAGATGTAAAGAAAACAAGCAAGACAGATATATATATGTCAACAAATATATGTATTAAACAACAAATTTACAAGTGACAAAGACAATAACATTTGTGTTCGTGTGTGAATGTAAAGAGTTTGTATTTTGGTGAATGTTTGTACGTACGTGTATGCGTGTTTCATGGCGTTTTCTCACAAGTGGGCAAAAATTTGAATTTCTACAAGAGATTACATTTTTAAAAGTGTCTGCTGAAATGCAAAGTGGAAAAGAGAATGAGGCAAGAAGTCGCCCAGTATTTATAATCTAGGGAGAGTGACCCCTAGTGAACAATTAAGGAATTAAGGAGGAGCTAACTCTGACAATGTTTTGATGTTGAAAACAATAAAATTGAAATGCGAAACAAAAAAAATGCAAAATAAAAACAAATACATTAAAAAATACATAAATAATTAAACGTAAATATAACTTTTATTACTTCTTGTGGGGTTCTGGGGGTGCAATAAGAAGCAAAATCGCTAAGAAGGCTTTCATTTCGTCAAAAAAGTGACATGTTTCCTCATGTTTACATTCAAAATGATACAAAAAATTTGTTTGCTCTTTTCTTCACCTGACTAGTATTTATTTTTCTCATTGACAAAAAAATTTATTATCTCATTATTTATAAATAGACAAAATAATTCACCTCAAGAAAGGCTATCAGTTATATCGATGGGTGCCAGTATCATCCATAAAATTAGTCAGGGATGGATGATAGTAGCCTCAAGAGTAGCAAAGGGAGAGAATTCTACATTGACTATTGTCACCTGCAATGTGGTAGAGCTTAAGGCATGGGCTACCAGCAATAATTTCAATGAGTCTATCAGAACCTTTTCCAATCAATCTGAGGGTTCCAACTACAACTAGAATTATTGAAGTTCTCATGTGACACATTTTTTAGATTTCCATTTCAAAGTTCTTGCATTTGGATATCTTTTTGAAGATACATTAGAATTTGCATTGACTGCTGTATCAATAAGAAGACACATTATGTTTTTGTGCTCTCTGATCATGATCTCTGGACGATTATCTTTGATTGTTTTGTCTGTGTGTATTGTAAAGTCCCATGAAATTTTAACAGGTCCAAATGCTGTAACCAGATATAGGTGATGTTCATACCAATTTCTTGCAGTTTCTTTTCTGTAAGTGTTACAGATTTTCCAATGCAGATATTGGCCCACTCTGTCATATTATTATTATTATTATTATTATTATTATTATTATTATTATTATTATCACTATTATAATATCATAACTAGATACACTGTAATTATCAAAAAAGAAGAAAAAGCAAAAAAGAAACATAATAAGCTTAACGATCCAAAGAAACATCCTTTGTAGAAAACCATGTGGGTTGTTTGCATGTTGTTGAATTGGAAACACGTACATTTATTTCCTGCTAGAAGGAGGTCCAACTACAAGAAAATGGCGGACTTGAATTAAGTCCAACTGAAGATGTAAAGAAGACAAACAAACAAGAATGATATATATATATATATATGTCAACAAATTTACAAAGCACATAGTCATTAACATTTGTGTGTGTATGAACATTTGTGTTTGTTCTTTGGTGAATGTTCGTACATACCTGTATGCGTGTATAATGTCCATGGCATCTCCCATAAATGGGAAGATGCGTATCTTCTAAGAGAGCTTACATTGTAGTCACTGAAATGAAGAAAAAAAGCAAATGAGGTGAGAAATCACCCAGTATTTACAGTATAGGAAGAATGACCTCAGGTGACAATTAGGGAATTAAAGAGGAGCTAACTCTGACACCTTCATTTATCATTTATTATAAAAAAATTCAAACCCTTTAACCTCAATATTAGCAATAACTCAAGACCCCAAATGTTCCCCAGTATAAAATAATGTTGTTTATAAATTTGCATGCTCCCTGGAAGATTGTATCACCAATATCAACAATCTCAAAAACAACATTTTAACATTAGCCACACATGCACCACACACTGACTTCTCACTTGTTAAAACTTAGTGCAATTTATGCATATATTGATCAGCATGTTACAAACAACCAAAATACAACTAAAGAAATATCTGTAGATAATACCAAAATATATACAAAACCAGATGCAAGGAAAGACTGAAACAACTTAGAAGCTATTATTATATAAAATAAAAAAACCTTGTTAAATAAAATATTTTTCATCTCAAGAGGCAGTATCAGGATGTGTGCATAAAATATTTAATATATGTAAAAAATAATAAAATAATAATAATACACATAATATTTGAAGTTATAGTTGGGACCTACCTACTGCGCACTGTCAAATGTTTCAAATTATTAGGAAACTGCATGGATCCAACTTATTTTCCCCATCAAATCTTTTGCATGTTTATGTGAGCATGAAAGTATGGATTCATCCTACCCTCATTCTCAAATGTTTTAAATCTTTATGCGCAAGTGACTGCAGGGATCTGACGTTCCAGAATCATCAAATATTTTGCATGTGTATGTGTCGTAGTCAGTATGAAGTCATAGATCTAAACTACCTGTTCCGTCAAATGTTTTAAATCTTTTTGTAAAAGACTTCAGGAATCCAACTTATTTTCACCATCAAATCAGTTGCCCATTTAAATCATGTGACTACCGGCACAGTGAAATGTTTTAAATCTTTATGTATACATGACGAGATGGATCCAACCTATTTTCAGAATCAGATCTTTATATGTGGTAGCCTGTACGAAGCAGTGTATGCAGCTTAACTGCACCATCAAATGATTTAAATCATTAGGAGACTGTACTGATCCAAGTATTTTCACCAAATCATTTGCCCATTTACATGTAGTATTTGGCATGAAGCTATGGATCCAGCCTACCTGTGCTGTTAAATGTTTTATATCATTAGGAGACTGTATTGATCCAAACTATCTTCACCATCAAATCATTTGCCCATTTACGTGTAGTATTTGGCATGAAGCTATGGATCCAATCTATATGCACCATCAAATCTTTTAAATTTTTAAAATCTTTATGTATAAGTGACTGCATGGATCTGACCTATTTTTAACTTCAGATCTTTTCAGTGTTTATGTGTTGTAGTTTGCATTAAGCTATAGATTCAACCTCCTCTCACTATCAAATATTTTATAGCTTTATGTTTAAGAAATTGCATAAATCACTGTATTCAACCTCACTGCAAAATGACTCTCTAATAGTGTTGAATATATTCTGCTAATGTTCACAAATATCACTATTGAAACTGGTAGATACAGTTCTTGTTTACACTGGTTGATACTTGTAATTTTTTGGTGGTGACAGCATGTTCCAGCAAAGTCTCCTGCCATCCTGCATTGATGATATAATACTGGTCCCAGGATCATTTCACTAACTACCATGTACTCTATTAACCTTCATGCTCACCAGATTTAGACCCCATTGAACATATATGCAACATGTAGAGAACCTTAATAAATTTCCTACAACCACTCTATTCTAACCCAATTTAGTCAAAGACAGTTTGAAATGTACCTGAATCGATGTACTCAAACAACTCAAGCATGTATTGTACCACTAAAATATTTTAGTCAATGGAAAGAGTTACAAGGAACTGTTTCAAATATTTTGGTATTTCAGTGTAATACTAAATTGTATCTATTCATAATTTTAATTGAACCCAAAGCGAAAAAAAATGAAATTTTTGTCTGGAAGTGCCCGGAATAATACCTGAACTAGTTTTCTATTTACAAAAACCAGACCAAATATTTTTGTCCGAGAAGATATTTTGGAATGAAAAGGTCAACATATACAATCTGATTCATCATGTACTCCAAGAATAGTAATAAATTGTCGTAAAGAAATTTATTTCCAAAAGTTACTTAAACTATTGATCTTGTTCCATTTACCGTATTTTTTTCTCTGATATATTCCTTAGCTTTTCTCAGGGTTACAATCTTGAAGGAAAGAAGGAGATCTCTTTTTTTTCTTTTTATGAGTAGCATAAACCAGAAAAAGGCAGCTTAGAGGCAAAAAGAAAATAATGAAAAATATAAGGACTGGAGCAGCAAAGCCCAACCTATTATATGAGATCACTGGGAAGCCATGCCAACTGATTCTGCTTCATAGTACCTATAAATGTAAAGAGGATTACTGTACAGGCAGAGCTCATCTCCTCTCCAAATAATATGTGATAGGTTTCTCTAGGTTACACAGTATTGACAGCAAAGTA